GAGTATGGGCCGTATCTCGCACCCGCGCAAAGCGGGCTTTTCCCTCCACAGACGCACGTCGGTAAACTAAGAAATGAACGTGCGCTCCCTGGGCGAGTCGGAGCAAAGAGGAGGCGTGTTCCGGCGCGAACAATCCCTAGTGCTATTTTGCAGCTCCAGAAAACAATTCCGCCACTGACCAGAACAAACCTAGTCTAAAGTCAGTGGCGCGTTGCGCGTACATTCAGATGCTATTTTAAGCGCGCATGCTTGGCCATAATACAGAGTGTGAACAACGCGCATACACTGTAGAGGATTCTCTCATCTACTCAAATGCATTTTACTTTTTGCAAATGCTACATTTTCATAAGGGAAAATATTAAAACACGAGGGAAATCATTGTTGTGTCCATGGCGATGGGAAAAATAGGCATAAAGCTTACACATTTACCCAAACTATTATATGCATGTTTAACCGACGCTAATGCACTACTTGCACAACTACTTCCGCGTTCTACTTATTACATATCAGGAGTTTCCGGTTAAAGTGTTCATCGCACGTCCATACATGAGAATGCAGATTATCACTACGTTTTATGGATGCCAATTGATTAAAACAATGAATAATGATCTCTGTATTAATTATCTTGAGCCTGCTGAAATGTTCCTATAAATATATTTTCTTTCCAACTGTTACATTCTGAACAATAAATATATATTAATTCACTAACCTGCAGCAGTCCTATGTCTTCTCATTAACAGTATTTTTCTCTTAGCTTACTTATATTCTATACCTGTTGAGTTCACATTTTTTTAATGAATTTGACTAATAAAAAGTATTTCTTGTGTGCATTGGTGCTTTATTCCTGTCTTTTTAAAATAGTTGAATGAATGGATACTCGCGATGTGCCTACGATCAGAACCGCACGCAGCGTAGAGGAGAATGACAGTCAACTTTCATGTTATCAATGTGAAGCGCTTTGATACAATCTGTATTGTAAAAAGCGCTATATAAATAAAGGTGACTTGACTTGACTTGACTTCTTGGAATATTAATTAAGCATTTTGGGCATGAACATGTAAATAGTAAAACGATTGACATTGAAAAATGACACTGAATGATTACAATATTTAATCCAAATAAATAAATGTTCGTGGTTCGTACTGATGTTATTGATCTGTTCTCACACACTTCAGCGTCGCGGTCACTAGTGTAGACGAACACTGACACCCTGTGGTGAAATAATGGCGTATATTTAACAGCCGCAGCTTTCTCAGATTGGCTTGGATTGGATTAAACTTCATGTTCCGATGAGTTTGGAAAATTCTGCACACAGTAAACATCAGATCATCCCTTCTTCTGTCTATAGAGGGTATGCGCATGACGTCACCGTCGGCCGGAGTGAATGCGGTCACGCCCACAAGTGGCAAAAAGACTGAGCGGCAGCATTTGTTTTCAGCGTGAACGCCGTGAAAATCACACACAACACATCTAAAACGGGAAAGAGCTTTGCGATTGACTGTACAACTAGATTTGACCAGAAATCTGAGGTACTGTATATTTTTACAGACTGCAAAAAGCTACAGAACAGACTATATTCTGCATAATTGGATGTTTTTAAATAAACACTGACAAAAAACTATACAAGTTTTAGGGCTGGACGATATGATGATATACAGTATAACATTAATGTAAGTGATCACTCGGATTTAGACCTATCTATATTGTATTTATATAAAACGTTTACAGGCAAATTGTCTTCATTTATTTCCCCGGCGTCGAAATCAGGCACATATAAATGTCAGGAAACACGATTCCTGGCTGCATGTCAATATCCATGATCACTGGATCTTTGATAAGTTGTAAGGAACACTATATCGAGTCCAACTTTTAGTTTAAACTGATAATAGTTTGTTTTACTCGCGTTAACGCAGTTTCCCCTATTAACTCCAGTCACGCAGCAGCTCTTCTGCCACTCAGTCCCGCCGAGGGGGGCGTGTTCCGGCGGGGAAGTGACGTTAATGCATTCCCTCTATAAAAAAGTCCAAAATATAAAATATTATTGACACTTTTTTTAGTTGGCGTTTGTTCAACTCATTGATCACAGTACATTGAAAGTAAACATAACCGGAAATAAGTGATATGTATTGTTTCCAAACGTCACGAAGTTCAGTGCAAGTGGTCCATTTGGGTGGGTTTGTCCCGTCCCCAATGTCACTTCTCTTTCTTTTACGGCCCTGACGAGAACATCGATCTCCTCGGCTGTGAAACGATCCGTAAATGCGCCGTTATAATAGTTTTGCGCCATGGAACAAGCGCACCTCGTTCATCACGCTCTTAAAGGGAATGTGAGATGACGCTCTGATTGGTTTATTTCACGTTACGCCCAAACCACACCTATGAATAATGAAGCTACTTCAGACCAACCCCTTTTAGATATGCGCCAGGCGCAAGAGGCATTTATCCCGCCGGGAAAATAGCAACAGCGCCGGGATCCGCCCACAAAGTTACTTGCGCTTTGCGCTTTGACACTTGCGTTTCAGATCGTTAAAATAGAGCCCTAAGATTCAACTTTATTGTCATTGCACATGTTACAGTACAAAGCAACGAAATACAGTAACGTCTAACCAGCAGTGCAGTTATAGCAGTTGATAATAAATATGAATGGGTAATAAATAAGAATAATCTGAAAAGCAGAAGCAGTATATAGAAAAATAATATAAGATTATGAACATTACTAACATATGTACAGAAAGATAAAAATTGAGTGGTACCTCCATCCCGGCGATATCGATGCGCTCCCGAACGCTGAACTTCTGTCCCATGAGCCTCAGCTTCGGCACACAGTACAGCACCATGTTATTGAACTGCCAAAACAGAAACATCATCATCAACATAACCCTTCTGTGTATTCATTATCTGATAAACGTGTTGAGCTGTTATAAATCAGCAGATTCTTTCACGAAGTTTACCAGGACACAGTGTATATGTGTGCATAAACACCCTCTCTTCAGCTGCACGATAAAGTGAGAATCACGATAATATGATTACGGGTGAAGCTCGAAAAATGTGAATATGCTGCAAAAGTTCATTTATTTCAGTAATTCAACTTAAAAGGTGAAATTAATATATTATATAGACTCATTACATGCAAAGTGAGATATTTCAAGCCTTTATTTGTTATCATTTTGATGATTATGGCTTACAGCTTATGAAAACCCCAAATTCAAAATTAGAATATTGTGTAATATGTTTTCATATCTGTAAGCCATAATCATCACAATTATAACAAATAAAGGCTTGAAATATCTCACTTTGCATGTAATGAGTCTATATAATATATTAGTTTCAGCTTTTAAGTTGAATTACTGAAATAAATGAACTTTTGCACCATATTCACATTTTTCGAGCTTCACCTGTGTATGATTCTCCCGCGATTCTGAACAGACAACTAAACAAAATAACCTAATTTACTGATGTTCTGACAAAATGTTAATTGCTGCAGTCTATTTAACAAATATTTCATTCATTTTATTTATTAAAAAAACAACAACAACAACAACAACAGGTGTGAGTGAATGATTCAATGACTCACTCATAAAGACTTAACTTGTTTCATTACTGGATGAATCAGTGTTTCTGAATGAATCTCTTGACAGAAAATCAGACAGATTTTCATCTACTATATAGAAGGGGTGTATGAGATTTCAGATACAGCTACTGTTTTCGAACAAATCTCTTGAGTGAATGATTCAACGACTCACTCATAAAGACTTTATTTGATTCATTACAAGTAGAATCAGTGTTTTTGAACGAATCTCTTGAGTGAATGATTCAACGACTCACTCATAAAGACTTTATTTGATTCATTACTAGTAGAATCAGTGTTTTCGAACAAATCTCTTGAGTGAATGATTCAATGACTCACTCACAAAGACTTCACTTGTTTCAGTACTGGATGAATCAGTGTTTCTGAATGAATCTCTCGAGTGAATGATTCAATGACTAACACATATTTTAAGTCTCTTGTCTCCCCCTACTGGAGTAACGGTGTAATACAATCTTTATGTGAAGCCTCAAGTTACTTTCAAAAGCTGATTAACTCTATTTTGATCTCTACTGTAGACATCAGTGTTTATATCTGAACTATGATCTTTTCTCCAGCACTCCTGTGATAATCTGAGTGGTTGTAAGACAGATATAATGATCCTGTGATGTTGGAAAGACTGTTAGTGAAGCGGTTTCATATCTATTCATGACGCCGGCTCTCTCTGGATCAGAACTCAGATCTGAATGTTTGATCATAGGGTTAATAGAGCAGAATCTCTGCCACTGAGGAATAACATCGCTGGTGTTTGATCCAGATCGCCGTCTCTAACGGATAATCCTGCAGCTCTATTTCACAGTATGAGAGAAGAGCATCAACTTCTTCATTCTGGGTGAACCAACCGTTCTAGTTTTGCTTCAACGAGTCACAAACCATGATAACCCTTGAAGCAAGAACAATCGTCAGACAGTGATCACTGATAGAAGCGGAGGAGACGCACCAGATACAGGTATCGGTCCTGAGCCGTGCCGTTCTTCGCCGACATCTTCTTGATGTGTCCTTCTTTAATGAACTCATTAGCGGGATTAACAATGTCCTCCTCTCCGCCCAGCCGCTCATACACCTCCAACAGCTTGTGCATCTTCTCCTGCGCACACACACACACACAAACACACACACACACACGCGCACACACACACACACACACACACGCACACACAAACACAAACAAACACGCACGCGCACACACACACACATGCACGCACAAACACACACACACAAACACAGAGAGGGAAAGTTCAGTCATTTGTAACGCTTTGCATTCACAAACTCATTAGATGAAAAGAAGAACTGTGATTGGCCGCATGACAGCATTAGAAAGAGGCCGATAGAGAAGTGAGAGTGATATAGAGCATTCGACCCAGGAGTCCCTGTTCACACACACACACACACACACACACACACACAGGAAATGGAAACAGCACATCCTGTCTGTGAGATGAAAATAAAGAAATGAAGGAAGAGTTCTCACCATTTTCCTGATGGCAGCGTTGGAGTGGTTTGCAGCGGTGGAGATCAGCTCCAGAGCATCTGACACACACACACACACACACACACACACACACACACACACACATCAGTCACTTCTTTATAATCAAACATTATTAAAAAACGGTCAGCTCAGACATTTACAGATTATAACTCATTTAAACATCAATGCTGTCTCTCACATTTCCCTGTGAAACAAATATAGTCAATAATGAAGGATTAACACGCATAACTGTCACATATTTTAGGAATCATTCAAAAGATTAAACTAAGTGTTTAAAGCATGATGTAAACCAGTACTTTACAACTTCAAATTTGGAATAAAAAGATTTTATAGATTTTATTTTAAAATGATTTTGTAAAATATATATATTTTATATATATATATATAAAAAAAAATTTTAGTTTAGTAAATTTGCTTTACAGTAAACACATTTTTTACATTTTCATTTTTTGAACTTCTGCAATAATCAAACCAAACTTTTATTACACAGCATTCATAAACTACAACCATTTATTTTCATGTCTATCCTCAAAAAGAGAGATGACAGGTTACATATATATATAATGCAATTATTAAGTATGCCATGGAATGTTGCAATCAATAAATAAAGTATAAATAATAATGTATAAAAATACAATGTAAGCATATATATATAAATTAAGTAGCAGGTGAAATGCAGAGTTAAAGTTGTGCGTCAGAAGTCGAGACATCACGATTATATTGTGCTCTGTGTGTGTTATAGCGGAAGCGTCAACGCAAGCACTTCACACACACACACACAAACACAGACACACACACACACACACACACACACAGATGTGAAGTCTTGACGAATTATAAACGATTGAACTATTGTATGATGTTTATTACAGTAAGTGCACAAACAACATGTTTGAAATACAACGTGTGATCGTCAACCAGTGGATCTCTGAGTGAGTGAGTGAGTGGAGGCGGGGCTCATTTGTATATTCATAGAACCGCGCATACTAAATGAGGCGAGGGTGTCGAGTTACATTCAAGATATTTTAAGACATGAAGTTTTTTTTCATGGGAAAAACGTTTAAATGTCATTCTGGAGATCAAAGATGAGTTTTAAGGGATAAAATGATCGACTGCAGGGGAACTTTAATGTTTTTCCAAGTAATATTTATATTTGAGCTTTATTTCAGTGTTGTGTAAAGCATGACCACTTCCGACACTCACTCTCGGCGTCTCTGCGGTCGGCCGCTCCGTCGGGGAGTTTCTTCAGGTAGTCTTTGAGCAGGAGCTCGTAACGGGGGATGCGCTGCACCGGCTCCAGCATGTGGTGCTGCAGCGTCAGATTCCCACACACGTCCTGCTTCTGCACACACACACACACACACACACACACACACACACGAGTTACTCACACGTCTGTCATCACACACACATGAGTTCCTCACACATCTGTCATCACACACACACACACACGTCAGGGATCTCCTTCACACCTGGATGGTCTGCGCACACACACACACACACACACACACACACACACACACACACACACACACACGAGTGTGTCAGGGATCTCCTTCACACCTGGATGCTCTGCACACACACACACACACACACACACACACACACACACACACACGAGTGTATCAAGGATCTCCTTCACACCTGGATGCTCTGCGCACACACACACACACACACACACACACACACACGAGTGTGTCAGGGATCTCCTTCACACCTGGATGCTCTGCACACACACGAGTTACTCACACGTCTGTCATCACACACACATGAGTTCCTCACACATCTGTCATCACACACACACACACACGTCAGGGATCTCCTTCACACCTGGATGGTCTACACACACACACACACACACACACACACACACACACACACACACACACACACACACACACGAGTGTGTCAGGGATCTCCTTCACACCTGGATGCTCTGCGCACACACACACACACACACACACACACACACACACACACACACACACGAGTGTGTCAGGGATCTCCTTCACACCTGGATGCTCTGCACACACACACACACACACACACACACACACATGAGTGTGTCAGGGATCTCCTTCACACCTGGATGCTCTGCACACACACACACACACACACACACACACACACACACGAGTGTGTCAGGGATCTCCTTCACACCTGGATGCTCTGCGCACACACACACACACACACACACACACACACACACACACACACACACGAGTGTGTCAGGGATCTCCTTCACACCTGGATGCTCTGCACACACACACACACACACACACACACACACACACACACACACGAGTGTATCAAGGATCTCCTTCACACCTGGATGCTCTGCGCACACACACACACACACACACACACACACACACGAGTGTGTCAGGGATCTCCTTCACACCTGGATGCTCTGCACACACACGAGTTACTCACACGTCTGTCATCACACACACATGAGTTCCTCACACATCTGTCATCACACACACACACACACGTCAGGGATCTCCTTCACACCTGGATGGTCTACACACACACACACACACACACACACACACACACACACACACACACACACACACACGAGTGTGTCAGGGATCTCCTTCACACCTGGATGCTCTGCGCACACACACACACACACACACACACACACACACACACACACACACGAGTGTGTCAGGGATCTCCTTCACACCTGGATGCTCTGCACACACACACACACACACACACACACACACATGAGTGTGTCAGGGATCTCCTTCACACCTGGATGCTCTGCACACACACACACACACACACACACACACACACACACGAGTGTGTCAGGGATCTCCTTCACACCTGGATGCTCTGCGCACACACACACACACACACACACACACACACACACACACACACACACACACGAGTGTGTCAGGGATCTCCTTCACACCTGGATGCTCTGCACACACACACACACACACACACACACACACACACACACACACACACGAGTGTATCAAGGATCTCCTTCACACCTGGATGCTCTGCGCACACACACACACACACACACACACACACACACACGAGTGTGTCAGGGATCTCCTTCACACCTGGATGCTCTGCACACACACGAGTTACTCACACGTCTGTCATCACACACACATGAGTTCCTCACACATCTGTCATCACACACACACACACACGTCAGGGATCTCCTTCACACCTGGATGGTCTACACACACACACACACACACACACACACACACACACACACACACACACACACACACACGAGTGTGTCAGGGATCTCCTTCACACCTGGATGCTCTGCGCACACACACACACACACACACACACACACACACACACACACACGAGTGTGTCAGGGATCTCCTTCACACCTGGATGCTCTGCACACACACACACACACACACACACACACACACACACACACACACACATGAGTGTGTCAGGGATCTCCTTCACACCTGGATGCTCTGCACACACACACACACACACACACACACACACACACACACACACACACACACACACACACACACGACTGTGTCAGGGATCTCCTTCACACCTGGATGCTCTGCACACACACACACACACACACACGACTGTGTCAGGGATCTCCTTCACACCTGGATGCTCTGCACACACACACACACACACACACACACACACACACGAGTGTGTCAGGGATCTCCTTCACACCTGGATGCTCTGCGCACACACACACACACACACACACACACACACACACACACACACACACGGGTGTGTCAGGGATCTCCTTCACACCTGGATGCTCTGCGCACACACACACACACACACACACACACACACACGAGTGTGTCAGGGATCTCCTTCACACCTGGATGCTCTGCACACACACACACACACACACACACACACACGAGTGTGTCAGGGATCTCCTTCACACCTGGATGCTCTGCACACACACACACACACACACACACACACACGAGTGTGTCAGGGATCTCCTTCACACCTGGATGCTCTGCGCACACACACACACACACACACACACACACACGAGTGTGTCAGGGATCTCCTTCACACCTGGATGCTCTGCGCACACACACACACACACACACACACACACACACACACACACACACGAGTGTGTCAGGGATCTCCTTCACACCTGGATGCTCTGCGCACACACACACACACACACACACACACGAGTGTGTCAGGGATCTCCTTCACACCTGGATGCTCTGCACACACACACACACACACACACACACACACACACACACACACACACACACACGAGTGTGTCAGGGATCTCCTTCACACCTGGATGCTCTGCGCACACACACACACACACACACACACACACACACACACACACGAGTGTGTCAGGGATCTCCTTCACACCTGGATGCTCTGCACACACACACACACACACACACACGAGTGTGTCAGGGATCTCCTTCACACCTGGATGCTCTGCACACACACACACACACACACACACACACGAGTGTGTCAGGGATCTCCTTCACACCTGGATGCTCTGCACACACACACACACACACACACACACACACACACACACACGAGTGTGTCAGGGATCTCCTTCACACCTGGATGCTCTGCGCACACACACACACACACACACACACACACACACACACACACGAGTGTGTCAGGGATCTCCTTCACACCTGGATGCTCTGCGCACACACACACACACACACACACACACACACACGAGTGTGTCAGGGATCTCCTTCACACCTGGATGCTCTGCACACACACACACACACACACACACACACACACACACACACACACGAGTGTGTCAGGGATCTCCTTCACACCTGGATGCTCTGCACACACACACACACACACACACACACACACATGAGTGTGTCAGGGATCTCCTTCACACCTGGATGCTC